TCTATCTATCTATCTATCTATCTATCTATCTATCTATCTATCTATCTATCTATCTATCCTTTTGTTTAGGCTTCTGTGTGTATGTCTCTCTTACTATTCCTACATTTCATGTCTATCTGCATGAGATCTATCTAATATCTATTTATTTGTCTGCCTGTCTGTATGTCTGCATGTCTATGTTATGCATATCAATTTCACAAACTCCAGGTAAATGTCTGTCTGATAAGATTTTGAACGTATAGATAAAACCATCCCAATTATGTACACTTCTACGTACGGTGCCATGACCTCGCCAGTCATTAAGGCGCGTTTGTTGACGCTCCCTCCTCACGTGTTATCTGTCCGACAGTACTATCAAGGTACTGCAATTTTAATGTTAGCATCAAGCACTTCGGGATTGGCAATACATGCCTTGAGGACTGTTTCTTAAAAGTGCAAAAAAGATTTAAACCAGACGTTTTAGTCTCAAGTAGGACATTCATTCATACCACGAAGAAAAACTGCCTACGGGACAAAAACGACTTTCGACAAGTAACAGTTTGCTTGGTAATTCCACGAGTGAAATACATATTACGCAATCACCATTGCGACTTTTTTCTTCACCAATTCATCTTATTCTCTCTCTTTCTCTCTCTCTCTTTCTCTCTCTCTCTCTCTCTCTCTCTCTCTCTCTCTCTCTCTCTCTCTCTCTCTCTCTCTCTCTCTCTCTCTCTCTCTCTATCTCTCCGAGATATTGCACTTGGTAATTCCCGGAGTGAAATTAGGCAATCCCAATTTTAACTTCCTTCTTCACTCAAATCACTCTTTGTGTCTCCCTATCTATCTATCTATCTATCTATCTATCTATCTATCTATCTATCTATCTATCTATCTATCTATCTATCTATCTATCTATCCATCTATCTATCTATCTATCTATCCATCTATCCATCTATCTCCATCAATATATATTCACAATAGGTACGATGTAAGAGGTCTGAACTAAAGTAAGGAGAAAACGGTCTTATCTTTTAAAAACCATAAAAAATTAAGTTTGTTGACATTCTGTGAACGGTATTCAAAAGGCGGCAATGTGCACCCCTTGATTTTACCGAGGTGTTATAAAAAAGACATAACTTTAACCATAGCTCGTAGAAGAACGGTTAAAGATAGAACTATACATGTACTAGAAGTTCGTGTTGGCTTATAGATCTCACGAGCAAAAAGAAAGACCACTATATAAATGTTCCTTGAACATGTGACTCTGTATCGAGAAGATGCAATAGATGAAAAACCAGGTACATCCTTGTTCTTGTAGGCATTGATTCCATGAGGGATGGAGAATCTGACCTTGTGTAGAGTGCCCCCGAATTTCACAATTAGGAGGAAAGGGCGATTGCTATAGCCCTTGACTTTCCGATATCAGTTTTACTCGAAATTCACTGCGAGCAGTCGGGAAGGCTTCAAAAGTAATCGAAAAAAAAGAGTACAAAGATTAAGGAAAAAAGCGACTCAAACACAACCACACAATCACTAACAAGGTCAATATGATTTTAAAGGCTGAATCTACAGGCACGTTTAGAAAGTTTTGGCAACGTTCACCCCATGATCCTGACATCACTCAGTCAGACTTCCATCGTTTGGTGTTCCTAAAGCGACGAATAGCGAGCAGGAGAGAGGTCCAGAGAAGAAAGCGGTTTTTATTTTACTCAGAGGTTCAACATTGTGATTTCTAGACCGAAACGTTTTCAAAAGGGGATAATATATTATTCTTTTTACCAGCGCCAAACAATACTGCATTGAGGTTTATTGCAACTATGCTCAGAAGTAGCTGAATGTTGCAACTACAAAATGTGTATCAATAATTTATCAATGATATAAGATTGTAAGTTCTTTGGCCATTTTCAACTTACTCTACAGACTGTCTTCGCATGTATTTTTATAGGGATACAAAAATTATA